GAGCGGCCCCGGCCCCGGCCCCGGCCCGGCCCTGCGGGCGGGGTCGCTCGGCAGGAAACCCCTGTGCGAGATGGCGATGCTTTCGAGAGGCGAGCGTCTTGTGAGCAAGCTGTGAAATGGAAATCCGTTCTTGTCATGCCTAAAGGTTTTTGCCGTTGTGCTGGTCATGCAGCTGGATCGCGTGGATGCCTTGGACTGTGGGTTGGGAGAGTATCCCATAGGTGCCGAGTGCTGCCCAATGTGCGCTGCTGGTAGGTAACTGTGGGCTGCTCGCTCGCCATGTCAGCTGCGGAGGAAGGCTCCCTCCCTCCCTCAGCATGGCAGGGGGTCACGGGGGTGACCCGCCTTCTCTGCTGTAGCCGGCTATGCTCCCTGCACCCTGACAGGAGTCTTGCAACTCACAGTTGTGAGCATCACGCCAGAATGTCCTCTTCTAGCCTGCATTCACACCCCACTTAGAACAGCGCAAGGGCCTGTCGCTTTCTTTGGAGCCTCCAGAGTGGAAGCAACACTTGCCAGAATCTCTCTGCTGTGGTATTTGGTAATTTCACAGTTTCCAAGGACTTTCATTTCGGGTCCTGGTTTCTGTTTTAGGATTATCTCTGCAATTGCTATTAGGATACTTCTGAGGTCCTTGTAGTTTATTTATAGCAGTTATGGGTGGTTTAATGCCAGTGTCAGTCCCTGGCCAGGTAAGCTTTGCTAATGGAGCCACTTCTGTGGGGGGGTTGTTTCTGGTTTTTAGGATTTCGGGTTTTCAAGCATTGCACTGCAGATTCCAGCACGACATGCATACCTTGTGTTGAGGATACATACACAGATCATCCCAATGGTTTAGAACACTGCAGGAAATGTAAACTGTGTGATAAAGGTAAGTAGGATGCTAAAGAACCAGTTAAAATGGATTTTTCATGCCTTTCGTGGATACATTCTCCCCTTCTCCTTTCTTGCCTCATTTGCTTGATGAATTGGTTAGAGTATGAAGAACAGTGAGGCTCATCTCACTGTGCAGACCTCAGAATGCTATCTGCTGGGTGATGGAAGGGGAAAACTCGCGTAGATCTTCAGCTGGCACCACTGCAAGTTTGATCTGCAGCCTCTCTCTTAATGTCTCTTAACACGCCTCGCAGAGGCAATCAGCTCCGGTGCAGGTGCGTCCCGCAGTGGAGCGGGGGATCACGGCGTACAGGGGGGTTTCCTGAGCTGGGGAAACCCCAGGGGAGCGCAGGGACCCGCCGGGAGCCGGCAGCTCTCACGAGGGCAGCTGACGAGGCGTGGGTGGGGACAGCCCCCCCCCCAGTCCCACAAAAGGCAGCCCCAGGGAGCACTAGCGACCCGGAGCGTTGCGAACAGGACGGGCAAACAGGGCGTGGTGCGGCAGCTCGTGCAGGAGGGTGCCTCTTCAAAGGGGCGTTCCACTGGCCGAGTGGGAGACTTGGAGTACACATAACCCAGCAACCCGGCACCGTTCTGTGAGCATCTGCACAGGTCAAGGGCACTCATCCTACCTGACCCTCAAGTCAGAATGGTGGGCACTCGTCTGAGGACAAAGGCCGCGACTCCGGCTGGGGGGTCTGCACCATCTACAC